GCCTGCTGAGAAACAGTGGCTTTGAAAAGCTTGGGGGTGGCTTCTGTTGGGTGTCAGCAGCCAGATCTGAGGGGGGAGTTACACCTGACAAGAGTTTTCAGGAGGTCTTGTTCTCTCTGTCAGGTTGTGTCTGTATGACCAGCACTTCTGTGTCCTGAAACAAACCATAGTATATAGTGCACATGCAGTAAAAAAGGGAAAATTTAGGATTTGACCCTCTGCTTTCAGCAGTCAGGGACATGCAACCAGTTCAGAATTGCATTTAAAGGACGACTGAGGAAGATGTGGTGTGTGCAGTGGCAGTGAAGGATGCTCTGATGTTCAGCTCCGTGTCTATCTGTGCTGAAGAGCTCAATTCAGCTAAATACACATTGTACTCTGTGTATGAAAACACACCAGCAGGGCTTGAACAATGTCTTGAAACCTCGTGGTCTTTCACCTCCTTACGACTCAAACTGCAATTTCCCATGGGCTTTCTTTTGGGGAATTCATCCATGTGAAGAATTACTGTGTGATACGACACTGTGTGATATGACACTCTTCAGTGTCCCAAATCCCTTAGGCTTCTGCATATGCCTTTCCCAACGGACTTTGTGCTTGCAGAGAAGTCTCAAGAGGCCTTTGTGTATCAGTATAACCTGTACAAACAAATATTTGGTGTGTTCATTCTCTCTCTCTCTCTCTCTCTCTCCCTTCTACTTGTCGATTTAGTGGCAATGCAAACACGCTCTAGCTCGGGGAAGTTATTGGATGGAAAGCTGTATTTTGGCTTTTGACTGTGTCAAGGTACAAAGTTACTGGCCTGTTGGGTCTAATACTGACCTTTTTTTTCGGTCAAAACTGGTTTAACTGGTAACGGGATTTGGGGTTATTGAGCTTTGTTATGAGGTGGAAACACAAGATATCGATTGCTGCTTTCTAACCTTTTTTGTGTTTTGAGAAATTGTTTTTAACATGTATACTGCTGTAGAGGACACAATAAATGTATTATCATTTTGTATAAGTCTGTTCTGATATAAAATTGCACCAAAGAGAACTCTTTGTCCGTGAAGTTGCAGGGTAATGTATTTTTCTTTTTCTTCAAGCAACAGGATGGAGGGGTTTTTTGGGGGGGGCTGAAATTTTCTTCCTTCCCCGTGAGGAGGAGCCTGTGGATTCTGCTATACCAAGTCAGTCCTGGACCAACCAGCAGTGAAGTTTTTGCCTTTAATGGGCCATGAACCCTCTTCCTTCCCCATCAACCAGTGGAGTTACACGAGAAAGGTTTTTACCACCCTGAACCAGTATCAAACATGACTGGGGTCTAAAGACACCAACACAAAGGCAACACCCTCTCCATGCAACCAAAGACCCCCTGTTCCTTTAAGTTTGGATCCATAGGCCTTTGGGGAACTAAATATTATTTCTAAGGGATCTAAACAGGAGAAAAAAAAAAAATCCTGTTGTCCTCAAACAAAGACCTTCTCAGTTGGTAAGGGTGAAAAAAGATTGGTCTCTATAAAACTCCTGTGGTGCTTCCAAGGCTCCGTTTCTTTTATAGCCAAACCTAAAGAGTTTAATCATTAGATTGGAGTTTAATGACTTTAAAATATCAGGTGCATTCCCAGCACTGAAACAGAGGATTCCACAGGAGATGTGCCTCCCTTTTCCCCCCCATGCAGAAGGGCTGCGTCAGCCAGTACCTCCCTGATCGTGGAGATCAGCAAATGCAGGATACAGAATCTGGAAAAAGCCAAATTTCTAAAAGTCACATCTACTCTGATTTTTCTTTTTTTTAAGGCTCATTTTATAGTTACGAGGTACCTCCAAAAGCATTTCAGCTCATTCTAGAAGCCCTTTGTAAGTCCCCGCTATCCTAAAGGCACAATACCACACTGCAGCAATTTGCTCCAAAAACCAGACATGCCTGGTTTAAAGGAGGAAAACCCCATTTACAAGGTCTGTCAACACACCAAGGACCAGAGTGCCCTGGATTCAGTCGTATTTTCTCCAATTGAAAAAAAAAATCTTACTCAGACACTCCAATAATCCTTGCTCTGGGTGCATTAGGCAGCCTTGGGGAAAAGTTGGCAGGGGGGAGGATTTCTTCTGATCTGGAGCCCACCCAGTCAAACTTTCCGAGGTGAATTTTGGTTACACTGACCAGCTGAAACAGCCGGTTTTGATCTTTCCAGGTTGTCATGTAGTTCGGAAAGAGATTTAAAAAAAAAAAAAAAAAATACTTGAAGTGTGAGCAGGGGGCAGAGCGTTTTGGAGCGCTCCTGGCTTTCTGCACAGCACACACCCGAACGAGCCAGCAGCATCCTCAGCTCCAGGAGAGGGCAGTGGCTCCTCACAGATCACGCAGCACTTCTAAGCCCGCCTTGGGACAACCTTTTGCTGCGTTCCTTGCGGAGAAAAACATCCCTGAAGCATTCCCGACTGCCACACGCTCCATCATCCCCTCAGCGTGTCACCACGGAGGGATCAGCAGCCTTTTCACAGCCCGAACAAAATCGTTATCCGTGAAACTTTTGCACACCCCAAAAAAGGATTATTAAACTTTTTTTTTTTTAATAAAGTCTCAAGTGAACTACCCAAACTGACATAAATTAAATTTCCAAACTCACAAAACCGCAATTATCACTTGCATTTTCTAGTTGTACATCATACAAATGGGTTCTCATCACAACACAGGAGCAAAGGTCACTTTTACAGGTAAAACTGATGAGGATTCTGATTGTCAGAATAGACAAAATTGCTCATTACAAAGAACACACAACTCACTGGGACAGAGGGGTTAAATGCCTAATTAATAAATAACTAATTCGAACCATATTTATAGAAACATGGACAATTCATCCCTGCTCTAATAACAGAACTAGAGATGAAGCACCTAAAAACCAACAAAGAGGTTTCCACGAGTCAAATGTCTGCTGACCTAAATAATTAACCAAGAGCAGAGCAAACTGAGGGGCTGGAACTCTCAATTTTTTAGGCTAAACTGATGCTGCAGCTCCCAGAGAGCCAGGAGGATGTGCATGGCTGTGGAGTGATAACGAGCTGAGGAACGCTGAGACAATCACAGTTATCACAGCTATTTAGTCCTCAAAGGCAGGTCCCCCCAAAAAAGCCAAAAGCACAGTTTAATTATGTATTTCACTGATGGATCCTGCTCATCTTCAGGGTTGTGGTGACAGGTCTGTTCCAGCTCACAAAGAGCAACATCTGAGCACTGAAACCAGGTTTGTAAGTCATTCTGAGATCGAGGCAGCCCAGCTGGACACTGCAGTGGGTTTGCTCTCCTGTCTTCCTTCATCCCTACCCTGCCTGATATTCAGCTGATTCATGTTTTCCCATGGACAAGAAAGGGTTTGGGATCCTCTGATCTAATTTAATAACTTTTCAATAGGTATGGAAGATAAACACCCAAGCAGATATTGTAACTATCTTTTTTTTTTTGTGGCACTGGAGACACCTTGAGAGTCCTTTTAAAGGAGGTTGCTGTTCCATAGGTGGTGCTTGGCAAGTTTCTGTGCTGAATTCCCACTAAACTGACTCAAGCTGTCTCAAAACAACACCAGGAATTATTATGGCAAAGCTTGGCCATCAAATAACTCTTTCAAATGAAGGTTAGGGAATAGTGCACTGGAAAATTGGAACATTTGGGAAACACTAACAAAGACATGACAAACACTCTGGGCCTGGGGAGAGTTATTGTAGGTTCCTTCTGTATTTTTGGGGGTGCTAACCTGTTGATTCCCACCATCCCCAGGCCTGGCTTTTCACAACAAAACAAGTGGATTTTAGATACTTAAGGAGAGAGCCAGGGTTGGGATATGAATCTGGAGCAGGTGAGAAAAGCAGCTCACGTCCAGGACAAGGAATTTACAGAATTCACACTCTAGAAAGCCCAAAGACTCCAATTTTACCATCTCTTAGGTGGCACATCCCAATGCCACAGCTAGAAAGCCTCAGACAGTGGTTACACCACTGTGGGCCCCAGATGGTTTCCTTTTTGGACTGATTTTTTCCAGCAGTGACAGCTGAGTGACGTAGTTGACCGGGCTGTTTTCCCTGGACAGAGTTCCCTGTCTGTGTGGGAAGGTCAGGTATTCCTGATACTGCCACTTGCACAGCTGTTTCTTCAGTTCACTTTGAACCTGCAGGAAAAAAGAGTTCAAAAAAAAGAAACAGAAAATCAAGGCCTAGTGGGCACTGAAGGTAAAATATTCCAGAATGTCTGCCTGACTACATAGCCCAGAGTCTCAAAAGCACCAGGAAAACCAGGATTAATCCTTACCACGTTTTTAGAAGCACTGGAACTATGTGCCCATTCACTTATCAAAAAATGAATAGACCTAATTTCAAAAATTCCAGGCAGAAGTACATCAAAAGAGAGGCTTCGTCCTCCAATCCAGTATCCCAGCGCTATCCCAGCAAACTCCCGTGTGTAATCCCAGCCCTTGGTTTCATCCCACGGGAATAACTCCTTCCTTGGCAGCAGCACAGCCTCTCACATTGTCACAGACACTGAAAACTGGAGGAACACACGCCAGAGGGCAGATGGGAAGGAGAGCATCGTGGATTTGGAATCAATCTTGAAGTCCCTCTCTCAGAGCAGCGCTAAAAAGGCCATTATAAATTGTTTTCCTGAGTTACAAAGGTATTTTAGGGATTGTTCATCCACGGGCAGGATAACTGCACCTTCAGCCATCTCTGTGAGGTGCTGGAGAGTGTCCAGAGAAGGGCAGTGAAGGGTCTGGAAAGTCAGTCCTGTGAGGAGCAGCTGAGGGAGCTGGGGGGGTTCACTCTGGAGAAAAGGAGGTTCAGGGGGGACCTTATTGCTCCCCACAACCCCCTGACAGGAGGCTGCAGGTGGGGGTCGGCCTTTTCTCCCACACAACAAAGAGAAAACAAGAAGAACTGGCCTCAAGCTGCGCCAGGGGAGGGTCAGGTTGGGCATCAGGAGGAATTTCTTCACTGAAAGGGTTGTTAAGAATTGGCAGGGGCTGCCCAGGGAGGGTTGGAGTCCCCAGCCCTGGAGGTGTCCCAGGAAGGCTCTGGAATGGGGGACAAGGTAGGGATGGGGCACAGGGTGATCTGGGAGGGCTTTTCCAATATTATTGATTTTATGATTCTAAAAGTGTCCACTCTAATCTGGAGGGGAGGCTCAGGCCACCCTTAGCTGGTCATTCTTCTCATCTGCCTGCCCCCTTTCCTGGGGATGAGACGTGTTTTTTACATCTTCTCATCAGTTTTGGGTCATTCTGCTCCTCTGGGGGAAGTGCCAGCAAATGTGGTCAGGTTGGGAAATGAGAGGAGGAGCTAAAATGGACTGCAGGGAACTCCTGCAAAGTGTAACGGTGTGACACGACCAGGAAGGGAAGGGTTTGAGGAAAATTAGGGAATGAATGAGGCTGTGTTGGAAAAGAGAAAGGGGAAAATGGGAAATGGGGGGGAAAAGGGGGAAAAGAGAAAAAGGAGGGAAAAAGGGGAAAAGGGGAGAAAAGGGTAGGAAGAGGAGGGAAAAGGAGGGGAAGGGGGAAAAGAGGGGAAAGGAGGGGGTAGAAGGGGAAAGGGGGGAAAAAGGGGGAAAAGGTGGGAAAAGGGAGAAAAGAAGGGAGAAA